TGATGAACGCCTGATAATCGAAGGTCGTTTCATAGGAAATTGGAATTGCCTTCCAAGCACTTGGCAAAACATCTTTGGTCACCCTAGCACACTTAGAAAGAGTAAGACGAACCATCTCAACTTTCAATTAATAGTACCCTCAAAGAAATCCCCTTAACTCACTAAATTCCACCAAATTCTGTAATCTGAGAACTGAAGCTCGAGCTTAACCGTTGGAGTTCGAGCTTGAACCAAGGCTCGAGCTTTAGTTTGCAGAGCTCGAGCTCAACCTAAAACTACACCAACACAGATATCAGAAATAAATATATAGATCAACCAATGAGTCCTTTAAACAACCATTGTATGCAGAAAACTTATGAAAACCTAAATAATTATTCATCCAAAAAGAATTTTCCTAGTCCAGATCTAGAAATTTAAGCAACTAAGAAGGAAGCAATTGGAAGAAGAGGAAGATGAAGATTTTTACCTGATTAACGCTAGCAAATATGGAAGGAAAATGTCAAAAATTATGGTGAATTAGTATGGAAAAGAAAACTTGGAGAGAAACTTCAAGAGAGATAGAGTATGAGAGAATGGAAGAAGGAATACTCTCGGGTTTTTAAAAACTAGAAACCTTAGAGCTCGAGCTTTAGAACTTGAGAGCTCGAGCCTGCTGCCAAAACCCCTAAAGTTAGCACTAAAATGACCTCCACACGCCAAACTATGGCACAAGGTCAGAATACTATGAAACTCACTCTCAAGAACACATCTACGAATGATTTAGTCAGCATAATACTTGAAGAGCTAGGGATCTTCCCAATAGTACATCTTAATCTGAGAGAAGAATCAATCTTTTTCCTACTTTGACCAAGATAAAGGAATTTTGCTTATTGCGAGATAATTCACAATATCAGAAAACTAAGGCAAATCCGTATGAGAAACCCTAAACAGCTGTTCATCCAGAAAGGAATCACAAACTAGAAGTGAAGTTGAGGTATCCTCAATCAGAATTCTAGAAAAATGATCAGCTACCACATTCTCTGACCCTTTCTTATCCCGGATCTCATAATCAAACTATTGAAGCAAGAGGATTCATCGAATCAAACGGGGTTTGGTTTCCTTTTTAAAGAGAAGATGTCTCAAAGTAGAATGATCAGAATAGACCACTACTTTGGAACCCAACAGATACGATCTGAATTTGTTCAAAGCAAAGACAACTGTAAGCAACTCTTTTTCAGTAGTGGTATAATTTAGTTGTGCATCTGAAAGAGTTTTACTCGCATAGTAGATAGCATAAGGAAGTTTATTTACTCGTTGTCCCAAGACAGCACCCATAGCATAATCAGATACGTCACACATGATCTCAAATGGAATAGCGCAGTTTAAAGGATTCATGATAGGAGTTGTAGAAAGAAGAGAGTGAAGCTTATGGAAAGCTTCTAGGCATGATTCATCAAAGATAAAAGGAGCATCCTTTGCAAGTAGATTACATAAAGGACGAGAAATTTTGTTGAAATCTTTAATGAAACGTCGATAGAACTCGGTGTGCCCAAGAAATGATCACACTCCCCTTACGGAGGTAAGAGGAGGCAATTTAGAGATCAAATCTACTTTAGCCCTATCAACTTCAATACCTTTCTTTGAAATAATATGTCCTAAAACAATCCCCTCTTGAACCATAAAATGGCTCTTCTTTCAACTAAGAATAAGATTTTTTTCCTTACAACGCTAAAGCACTAGGGACAGATGTTAGAGACAGTTTTTGAATGTGGATCCGAAAACAGAGAAGTCATTCATAAAGACTTCGAGAAAATTTTCATCCATATTCAAAAAGATAGACATCATGCACCTCTGGAATGTTACTGGCGCATTACACAATACGAAAGGCATCCATCTATATGAAAATATACCAAATGGACAAGTAAAAGTAGTTTTCTCTTGATCTTTAGGATCAATGGCCACTTGATTATAGCCGGAATATCCGTCTAAGAAGCAATAATAGCTCTGGCTAACCAACCGCTCTAGGATCTGATCAATGAATGGTAATGGAAAGTGATCCTTTCTTGTAGCGGAGTTAAGTTTTCGGTAATCAATACACACACGCCATCTAGTGGTGGTGCGTTGTGGAACTAATTCCCCCTCAGAATTCCCAACTACTGTAATACCAAACTTTTTAGGTATTACCTGAGTAGGACTCACCCACTTGCTATCTGAGATGGGGTAAATTATTCCCACATCTAGCAATTTCACAACTTCCTTCATAACCACCTCCTTCATATTAGGATTTAATCTTCTTTGGAGTTCCTGAGATGTTCAGGAATCCTCTTCCAAATGAATTTGATGTATGCAAATTATGGGACTAATTCCTTTCAAATCAGCCACACTCCACCCAATAGCCACTTTATTTTGCTTAAGAACTTTTGAGAGACTTCTTTATTGGGAACTTGTAAGATTGGAAGCAATGATCACCGGGAGGGTATCATTTAAACCTAAGAAAGCATACTTAAGCTTGTTCGGTAATGGCTTAAGCTCAAGCTCAGGATGAGACTCTAATGAAGGAATAGGCGGAGTACTAGACAGTGGAGGAATAGGCAGAGTACTAGACAGTGGAGGAAGAGGCTCAAGTCTAGATTTCCATGGAGGAAAATCTGTGATAGAAGTGGAGTTGAGTAATGAATTCACTTTAGCAATTGAAGATTTGATATTGAAGTCTTTATAGTTGAAGTGATTCAGACAAGCTTTTAAAAGATCCTTGGATAAAATAGTTGGGAGTGATTCCTTAACCAACTCATCAATAACATCAAGAAAGAAGCATTCACTATCATCGTAGGGATGATGAATAGCATTGAAGAAGTTTAGCTTGACTTTCGTATTCCCAAAAGATAAAACCATGGCGTTTGTCCTACAGTTAATGCAAGTATTTGCTGTGGCTAGAAAAGGACGTCCAAGAATGACTAGAATATACTTTTTGGAATCGTGGATCGGTTCTGTATCAAGAACAAAGAAATTGACTGAAAAATAGACTTGTCTACTTTTATGAGTACATCTTCAACAATACCTCATGGTTATCTGACAAAACTGTTGGTCCTAAGTTACCTTAAGGTATGTTTGCCTGTTTAATGTCAAAAAAAGGTATTTCACTTGCTTCAAGAATGAATTCTACCTACATTGTGTTTTGAAATAAGGTCCAAGGGTAGTTCTGTTATCTACTTCTTAGTAAAATAAGGTTTGAGGGTAGGTCTGAGGGTATTTCACTCTAGTGTTAGCTACAGGTGCTCACAGGGGGACTATGGTCTTTTTTCAGTTGTATTTCAGATATATATATATGCGTATGCCCAGGTACCTGCATTACACTGAAGTGTCTCGATTGGACCTACATTGTAAGGAATATAGCCTCAGCTCTGTCACAATGCTGAGTAGAGTTAAATCTGTTTTAAGGGTAATATGGTCTTCTCCAGCTATGGTCACGAATGTGACACGACTTAGTGGTCCTAGAGAGCTGGTATATGTAAGAATATTACATTTCTTGGAGGCTAAGTCTGGATAAATTTGTCATTGCAACATACAACCTGTAACCTGTTACAGCTGGTGAGAATAGTGACAAATTAGCTAAGGTGGCAGGCCTGCATTGGTGCGTTTCTCTGAAAATATTTGAAATATGCTCTCTCAATCATTGGCTAGAGGTGACAGGTGTATATCCGTGGTGTGTGAGACCTTGTGTAATTCAGTGTCACTATAAATATGTTGTTATAGTGACTTTTAAGGTTTAAGCCTTTAAAAATACATTGCACATTGAGCTGCTGCTGAAAACCCTCGAGTATACTACGTCAATCAAGTTTTTCTCTACTGTTTAATGATGATCTATGCAAGAAAAACTCATTGAATCAACTCTGAGGTGTGTACTGATTGCTGAGATGAGGCCGCTGTCAAATTTGCTAATGCAAGGGCTATATTGAGTAGTGACTTTGTGTTTCAAGCTGCTATGGTTCATTCTGAAGGTTGACACAGGTATAATTCATATTTTTACACTTGCTCAGACTGTGTTTGTGTTGAGAATATGCTGAAAATGAATTTGGGCAGTATGGTCACTAGTTAAGCTTGTTCTTCTGAAGAAATCTTAGAGTCAAGTGCTATTTGATTATACTTAGCTATTTCATGATGATCTATGCTACTAGCTAGTATATTTTAGTGAATCAAGATTGTTAAAGTTGAGTTTGTGACAAAAATATGGTATGCTTTGATTTTGAGTATTCTGTGCCGAGGCTATTTTGTGCCGAAGCTGTTTTGTGGTGAAGCTATTCTGTGCCGAAGCTATCTTGTGCCGAAGCTTTTTGTGCTGAAGCTGTTATATACTGAACCAAGGGCTTTGACTGAACTTTGTGATATCCTCATGCTGTGTTTAATTATGCAAAGCTATAAACATAAGTACAACTGTGAAAGAAGACTGTAAGAGAAGCTAGTAAATTGATCTCTAAAGGAATTTCCCATTTTACCCCTCAGACCGTAGATGCAGCAAATTGCAGTTCTGAGGCAGTAACTTGGAATTCTGTGTTATCCAGCTTATTTTAATTGTTACGAAGATTTTTTTTGTACTGAATTACATCTGTAATGGTGTGTGTGGTGAACAATAAGAGCTTATTTGGTCCAAGTATGGTTGCTTAGGATAGGGGGAGTTCTCGGATGCACTATGGTGTACTAGTGTATGTATTGGTTGTGAAAACTAGTGTCTATTCTTGTGCCTGGATGTGTGTAGAGAGTGAGACAGCTGAGTGTGTAACAAGATACATACAGCTAGTAGTGGATTGCTTATTAGCCGAGGCCAAGAACCAAGATTTTCCCTAGTTAAGAGGGTTTCCTTGTAAACCGTGTGTTATTTGTTCTCTGAATGCTTGCTTAGTTGTGTTGAGAAAGTTTTAGAAAGCAAAGTTTAACTAATTCACCCCCCCTCTTGGTTCAACAATTGGTATCAGAGCTTTGGTTTGCATTGTGAGGTTCTAATAAGCCTGTAGTTGAACCCATCAATGGATGAAGGTCAAGTTATCGACAAAGCTCTAGGGTTTGAAGGTTCAAACTATGATGCTTGGAAAACTAGAATGGAAGCCTTCTTAATGTCTCAGCGCTATGATGTTTGGCATGCTACCGTATATGGTGTTGTGATTCTTAATCCTGATAACCCCTCTGTTGAAGATAAATTGGTTGTGGTTAATGATGGCAAATCCAAACATGTTCTCTTTTTTGCCTTGAGGCAACAAGAGTTTACCAGAGTTAAAAATTGTAAAACAGCCAAGGAAATGTGGGATTCTCTTCAGGCAACTCATGAGGTAAATAAGGTTATTAAGGAGAACAAGATACATCTATTCAAAGTTCAATATGAGGTCTGTAAGATGGAAGAAAGAGAAACTGTTGCTGAGTACATGTTTAGGATCAATGACCTTGTTAACAATATGAGAGATCTTGGTGAAGATATTAAGGATGTTGATGTTTGTAAGAATATATTAAGGTCACTCACTTCTAGATTCAATCCTAAAGTGACAATTCTCGAAGAGAAAGGTCTTTCTAAAGTGAAGATGGATGAGCTTCAGGCCTCTCCCACTGCCTATGAAATGAGAATTAGTGTTCTAGCTGTTCATAGAAGAGAAACTGCTCTTAAAGCAAAGGAAGTTATTGAAGAAACTGAAACAAAGTCTGAAGATGATCTTAAAGAAGATGAGGTAGTCTACCTTGCTAAGAAATTCAGGAAGTTTAGGTTTAAAAAGAAGAATCAGCTGCAAAATTTAACCTGTTATGGTTGTGGAAAACCTAGTCATGTTGTATCTAATTGTCCAAACTCAAAGGGGCAAAGTCAGAAAAAGAATGAGGGAGGAAACTACAAAGGAAGGTTTGGTGGAAAAGCACTTATCTCAGATTGGGATACAGTTCCTGAAGAAGATAAACCTAAGGAGACACAAGATGATGAATGTCTCTTTATGGCAATTCTCGTGGCACCACAAACTCCAGTTCAAGTTGAAGAAGATAGTGGCACTGAGATTAAGGAAATTCTTGAAGAATGTGAAAGACTTGTAGTAACGTGTAATCAACAGAAATCCCAGATAAAAAGGCTCAATCCAGAATTGTTAAAGTCCAAACAAATTCTCACTAAACACTTCAAACTAAAACTGTCAATGCTGTATTCAGTTTCTCTTATTTTTCAAAGCCTATTGAAATCTCAAGTCAACACTCAGTGGTCTACTAAGAAGTGTAAAGAAGAACTATCTCTCATTCTTGAAGAAAGATCCCTAAAGATGGCTAAGATCTGGAAGCAATCCACAAAGCAAATTGGGAAGACTGGAATTGGCTATGTGTGTGATTCAGCCACAAAGGTCAATCAAACTCACTCTGTATTTGTCAAAGCCACAACTGGTGAAGTGTGTGCAAGGTTTCCTATCATAAAGCCTTAGAGGTTCAAGGGTGGGTTACTTAATAACACCTGCAATGCTCTAAGCTTCAACAAGAGAGACTTTGTTACCACAACTATAAGGAACTTTAAGATAACTAGAATGTATATCAAGAAGTCAGACTTAGCTTCAGCTCAGAAGGTCAAGGACAAAGGATCATTGGTGAAGACTAAAATGATGTGGATTCCTAAGAAATTAAACTCTGTAAGCCTTCTAGTGTATATAACTTTTAAAGCTTGTAACACTCGGGACAAATGGTATGTTGCTAGTGGCTGCTCTAGCCACATAACAGGTGATGAATCCAAATTTACTTCTTTGAAGTAGTTTGATGGGGGAAATGTTATCTTCGGAGACAATCAAAAGGCAAAAATTATTGGTATTGGAACTGTAAACAAGTCTGAAGAATTACCTGAGATTCATGAAGTTCTACTTGTTGAAGGGCTCAAACACAATTTTCTCGGTGTTAGCCAACTGTGTGACAATGGAAAAGAAGTATGCTTCAATAAAGAGAAGTGCAGTGCGGTTGATCTCAGATCCAAACAAGTCATTTTCTCGGCTTATAGATCCTCAGGAAACGTTTATACTGTCACTAAAGAAACTTAGAATACTCAATGCAATCTGACAACTTGTGATGAAGCTAAGCTATGGCACAAAAGATTAGGACATCTACACTCAAGAAATTTGTCTAAACTTCTTAAACTAAAAGCTGTCAAAGGTCTACCTGATATCAACTTCAAAGAAGATCATCTCTGCAAAGCTTGTCAATAAGGAAAACAAACCAAAGTCTCATTTCCCTCTAAGGAAACCAACTCTTCAAAAGCTCTTGACATGATACATTTGGATCTCTGTGGCCTTACCAGAACCACTAGTGTTGGTGGAAGTAAGTATTTCACACTTCTTATTGATGATTTTAACAGGATGGTATAGGTTTACTTCTTGAAAGAAAATTCTGAGGCCATTACACACTTCATTAAGTTTGTTAATCTTGTTAAAAATGAAAGAAGTAGCACCGTGAAGAGACTTAGTTCTGCTTTTGGCTCAGAATTCATCATGAAAGAGTTTAAGCACTACTGTGATGATAAAGGTATCAAGAAAGAGTTCTCAGTTGTTGCTACTCCTCAGAGAATAGGGTTGTAGAAAGGAAGAACAGGACAGTTCAAGAAATGGGTAGAACAATGCTTTTAGAAAAAGGTCTAGCAAAGGGTTTTTGGGCTGAAGCTGTGAGTACTGCTATGCACATCATAAATATCTTCTTAGACCTAATTTAACCAAAACACCTTGTGAATTATGGTATGGAAGACCTGCAACTGTTCATTACTTTAAGGTGTTTGGCAGCAAGTGTTATATACTGAACCACACTGATAGTTTGGGAAAGCTTGATTCAAAGGGTGATGAAGGCTTATTCTTGGGATATTCTACAAAAAGCAAGGCTTATAGATGCTACAATCTCAGGTAGTTGAAGGTGGTTGAGTCAATCAATGTGAAGTTTGATGAGAATCTCCAGTCAACACTTATTGAAGACAGTAATAACACATCTAGTTCAAATGAAGCCAGTACCTCAGTTCCTGAACTTGAGAATCCAAGAGAAATCACCTATCCAATGCTGCAGAAGCAGGTTCAAGTTGAGAACATCATTAGTTCATCTCAAGCTGGAGTTCAAACAAGAAACAAAAAGAAGCTAAATGATTTAGAAGCTGAAGATGATGAAGAATATAGTCACTTTGCTATACTGTCATCCATTGAACCAAAGTCCTATTTTGAAGCTCAGAAAAGTAAAGACTAGCTAGCTGTTATGCAAGAGGAACTTAATCAAATCAATAAAAATGATACCTAGACACTTGTTCCCAGACCTAAAGACAAGAATGTAATTGGCTCAAAGTGGATTTTCAGAAATAAAATGGATGAAAAGGGATCAGTTATCAGAAATAAGGCAAGCTGGTGTGTAAAGGTTACTCTCAGCAGGCTAGTATTGACTATGATGAAACTTTTGCTCCAGTTGCAAGAATGGAATCCATTAGAATGCTTTTATCCTTTGCCTGTCACAAATAAGTCAAAGTATATCAAATGGATGTTAAGTTAGCCTTCCTAAATGGAGACATAAATGAAGAAGTTTACCTAGAACAGCCTAGAGGTTTTGAAGATTCAAAGTATCCCTCTCATGTGTTCAAACTAAGTAAAGCCTTGTATGGTCTCAAACAAGCCCTCAGAGCCTGGTATGAGAAGCTGCATCAGTTCTTAGTTGAACAAGGATTTCACAGAGGCAAGGTTGATAACACTCTTTATGTAAAAACTCATCAAGAACAGTTTCTAATTCTGCAAATCTACATTGATGATATCATGTTTTATGGCTCAGACACCTCATTAGCTTCAGAATTTGCTAATCTCATGAAGACAAGGTTTGAAATGTCACTTTTAGGGACTCTCAGATACTTCTTAGGCCTGCAAATTACCCAAACATCCATTGGAATCTTCATCTCTCAGCAAAAGTATGCCTCTGAGCTACTTAAAAAGTTCAAAATGGATGATTGTAAGGCTATCTCAACACCACTATGTCCTAATACCAAACTCTCACTGGAGTGCACCACTGAAGTTGTTCCTTCAACACTTTACAGGTCCATCATTGGTAGTTTGCTGTATTTTATTGCTTCAAGGCCTGATATAATGTATTCAGTGGGTTTAGTGGCCAGATTTCAAAGTAATCCAAGAATCTCTCATCTTTAAGCAGCTAAAAGAATCCTCAGATATGTCAAGGGCACCATCACCTATGGTTTATACTACATTTTCTCACCCTCAATGTCTATTGCAGCCTTCTCAGATGCTGATTGGGGTGGATCTTTACCTAACAGAAAAAGTACCTCTGGTTGCTGTTATATTCTTGGTTCCAATGTAGTTTCTTGGCTAAGTAAAAAGCAGGACACTGTCTCTCTTAACCTCTGAAGCTGAGTATATAGCTGCCTCACAAGCTAGCTCTCAACTACTTTGGATGAAAAATACTCTCTCAGATCTTGGCATTCAATTCTCAGGACCTCTCAAACTTTTCTGTGATAATCAAAGTGCTATTGCTATCAGTAAGAATCCCACACTACATTGGAAGAGCAAGCACATTAACATAAGGTATCACTTTCTCAGAGATAAAGTTCAAAATGGTCTTACTGATATTACTTATTTGCCTACTGAAGATCAACTTGCAAACATCATGACCAAACCTCTTCTTCCTCAGAGATTCTCAACCCTTCGAGCTCTTCTCAGTGTTGTTCCTCCTCCCTCCCAAACTTATATTGTTGGTCCAACTCACCTTTTGACCTTTAATGTCAAAAAGAGGGAGAAATTGACTGAAATAAGGATAGCTTCAAGCTATTCCTTTTGCATTTGGGTTGTTCTTACTATATCTCTGTGGTTCTCAGTTTCACAGACCTTATTTCAAGTTAAGTTATTTTTGTCATTAAAGGCAAAAGGGGGAGATTGTTGGTCCTAAGTTACCTTAAGGTATGTTTGCCTGTTTAATGTAAAAAAAAAAGGTATTTCAGTTACTCTAAGAATGAATTCTACCTGTATTGTGTTTTGAAATAAGGTTCGAGGGTAGTTCTGTTATCTACTTCTTAGTAAAATAAGGTCCGAGGGTATTTCACTCCAGTGTTAGCTACAGGTGCTTACAGGGGTACTATAGTCTTTTCTCAGTTGTATTTCAGATATATATACGTATGCTCAGGTACCTGCATTGCACTGAAGTGTCTTGATTGCACCTGCATTGTGAGGAATACAGCCTCGGCTCTGTCACAGTGCTGAGTAGAGTTAAATCTGTTTTGAGGTCAGTATGGTCTTCTCCAGCTATGCTCAAGAATATGACACGTCTCAGTGGTCCTAGAGAGCTGGTATATGCAAGAATATTACATTTCTTGGAGGCTAAGTCTGGATAAAGTTGTCATTACAACATATAACCTGTAACCTACTGCAGCTGGTGAGAATAGTGACAAATTAGCTGAGGTGGTAGGCCTGCATTGGTGCATTGCTCTGAAAATATCTGAAATATGCTCTCTTAATTATTGGCTAGAGGTGACAGGTGTATATCCGTGGTGTGTAAGGTCTTGTATAATTCAGTGTCACTATAAATATGCTGTTATAGTGACTTTTAGGATTTAAGCCTTTGAAAATACCTTGCACATTGAGTTGCTGCTGAAAGCCCTCGAGTATACTATGTCAAACAAGTTTTTCTCTGCTCTTTAATGATGATCTATGCAAGAAAAACTCATTGAATCAACTCTGAGGTGTGTACTGATTGCTGAGATGAGGCTACTGTCAAATTTGCTGATGCAAAGGCTGTATTGAGTAGTGACTTTGTGTTTCAAGCTGCTGTGGTTCATTCTGAAGGTTAACACAAGTATAATTCATCTTTTTACACTTGCTCAGACTGTGTTTGTGTTAAGAATATGCTGAAAATGAATTTAGACAGTGTGGTCACTAGTTAAGCTTGTTTTTTTGAAGAAATCTTGGATTCAAGTGCTATTTGATTATACTTAGCTATTTCATGATGATCTATGCTTCTAGCTAGTATATTTTGAAGAATCAAGATTGTTAAAGTTGAGTTTGTGCTTTGATTTGAGTATTCTGTGCCGAGGTTATTCTGTGCCGAAGCTATTTTGTGCTGAAGCTATTCTGTGTCGAGGCTATTCTGTGCCGAAGCTATCTTGTGCTGAAGCTGTTATATGCTGAACCAAGGACTTTGACTAAACTTTATGATATACTCATTCTGTGTTTGATTATGCAAAGCTATGAACATGAGTACATCAATGAAAGAAGAAAAAAGACTGTAAGAGGCACTGGTGAATTGATCTCTAAAGGAATTTCCCATTTTACCCCTCAGACCGTAGATGTAACAGATTGCAGTTCTGAAGCAGTAATTTAGAATTCTGTGTTGTCCAGCTTATTTTAATTGTTGCGAAGATTTTTTTTTGTATTGAATTACATTTGTAATGGTGTGCCTGGTGAGCTATGAGAGCTTATTT